GAAGAAAAATGTGGTTCACGCCCTGTCCGCCAACATTTGCAATTCCACAAAACGTGTTTTTTCGTCTCCTGCTCTTCATCGCAACATCTGCAAGTGGCTGAATCGTTTTTATAATGTTCCTGATCTTTGTAGCCGTTGTTCTGTGTGGCCTCCTCCTGCCACGAACACCGATAACAATCTGCGTTGCCACTTGGTGAGGCGAAACTTCTTGCTGCGCGTTCTGAGCAACCAAGAACATGAGACCATGTCTAAACCAAATCTCTGCTTAGGCGCGTCGTCGCCAAGGTCGTTTCTGGTGGACGGCGCCTTCCTTTGAAACCAACGTCTTCGAGCATCGCGAAGGTGGTGCATGAGAAAGTTGTGGTGCCCATCCAGCCACTTGATTGGGGTGCCCAAGTCGGTCTCTAGCGTGTCGACTTGTAGCCACCTCCGCTGCAGCTGATCCATCATCTCGATGAACGTGCGCATGGGTCCGGGAAAAGCGCTTCCAACATCTTGGATACACTCGTGCAAGTCGGCCACATAGCTCTGGAGCAAAGATACACGTAGAACTTGCCGGCGACTGGACAACATCCTTTCCCTCTGGCTGATCGTGCACGGGTCAAGCAGGTGGCCTTTTAGCACGACGCTCATCAGGATCCACCGGCATGTCCACTGGTGCCCTCTTGGCACAAGCGCCGCACAGAGTGCCTGGTTGAGTCACGCAGCTTGAGTGTAGACGGCGCGCCCAGGTCAGAACCGACTGCGATCATGGAGGCGGCCAGAGGTTGTGCCACATCAGCTCGTTTATGTAGAGGTATGGTGATGGGCTTCTTTTTCATCACCACCACCATAAGTTGGACGGGGGAACGAGGAGGACGAGGAGGAGGAGGACGAAGAGGAGGAGGAGGAGGTGGAGGAGGAGGAGGAGGAGGAGGACCCCCGCCCCCTCCAACATATGGTGGTGGTGGTGGTGGAAAACAGGCCCATCATATGGGTAGTCGCTGAACCCGTTGTAGGCCACCGATGGCGTCGGTGTCGTGGCGGTCCACCAGCGACGTGTCCTCGCCTCCTCGGGTGACGAGCTGGCTGCCGACAAGTCTGAGCGCGCGCTTGACTGTGAGGCTGTGGCCCGACACCTGCGCGCTGCCCCGCGCGTCGATCATCGTCTAAATGGGTGGTACAGCCGACGAGCTTCACCAAGCGCAGTTCCTGCCCTGACAGCTTGTGGAACAGCAATGACTGCCGAAGATACCATCGAATGCCAGGCATGTGCCACAGCGTTGAATTTAGATCACCAGTGAATGTTATCGACAGCGATCTGGGTATCCATCTGTGTTGTCGAGCCGTCCATACACACAGAAGCAATATTCCCGGGTCGCCTCTTGGAGAGCTAAGAGGGCTCCAGATTAGAAGTCGGCCGCGCAGGATAGGCCAGCTCCTCTCCAAGGCTACCGGTCAGGCAGCGCCGCAGCGCCGTGCTTAAACCTGCAGCGTGTCGCGAGAAGCGTTTTCCTGCTCGTTCCCAATACGCGTGCCTGAAGCTTTTCCGCAGGTCCTTCGCCGCTCCCTCGAAGCTCCTTCGAAGCTTGCTTTTCCAAGCTTGCAAGCTCCGGAGGCATGCTTTTCGGCGTCCTGGCAAGCGCCTCCCGCAAGAGTTTTCTCAATCTTGCTGGGTTCCTGGGCATGCTTCCCAGCGTCCTGGCAAGTGCTCCCCCGCAGGCCCGCCCGCTGGCGTCTCCCAACCTTGCAAGCTTTCTCGTGGGCCAGCGTTACCCTGGACTCGGTCTGAGCAGGTCGTTAATCTGTGCTGGTCTGAGCAGGGCGTAAGACTGCTCCGACCTGAGGAGGTCGTGAAACTGCTCCGACCTGAGCGATCATTAAACTTCTCCGACCTGACCAGGCCGTAAAACTGCTCCGACCTGAGCAGTTCGAAAAACTGCCCGCGCCTGAGCAGGTCGTAAACCTGTTCCCGGATAGATCTCTGAGAGCTAAGAGGGCTCCAGGTTAGAAGCCGGCAGCGCCGGGCAGGCCAGCCCCTCTCCAAGGCCCCACCGCAGGCATCCCCGGAGCGTCTTGCTTGGACGGGCAGCGTGTTCCGAGAAGCGTTTTCCTACTCGTTCATAATACGCGTGCCCGAAGCCTTTCCGCAGGTCCCTCGCAGCACCCTCGAAGCCCCTGCGAAGCTCACTTCTCGAGCTTGCAAGCTGCCCTGGCATGCTTTCCAGCGCCCTGGCACGCGTCTCGTAGAGGCGTTGTCTCGATTTGTAAGCTCTCCAGGCATGATTTCCAGTATCCTCGCATGCGTCTTCCATAAACGTTTCCCGCGCAGTGGACCGCTCCGCTATCTGGGTTTGGACGCCACAGGTTATGTCATCTATGCTGAACGTGGAACCTTGCACCTGAGCGCCCGTAGTGCTGATGAGGTCGCTGAAGGTGCCCGACATCCTGAGGTACTGAAGATGCTTCTCGTAGAAATCTTCTCGTACTTGAAGCACGCTCTCCGGGCATCCAGCGTGCC